ACGTATATATATATATATATATTTTTTTTAGGTTATGTCAGCCTTTCTCCACGCTCTTTTGAAAAATCGAACCGATTTTTCGGGATACAGTTGCTCCAACATTCTCGTTATCACGACGAAACAATTTTTCCAGCCAGAAAGATTAGCAACGTTAATTCTAACCTAACGATATACACGTTCAACAAGTTTGCGGAGTTTATCGAAGTTCTTTTTTTAGCAGAATTCCTGGCGTGTCAACCGGTCGAGTTATTCAAAATGCAAACCAATCTCGGGCAATTTACCTAAAAAGCTACTTTCACACAAATCTCAACAGTTCAATCACTATCAGAAGGCAGACAGAAATATCTTCCACGGTATTGGACGAAATTTGGTACGCTGCATCTAATTGAGAGTGGCAACGTTTCGAGCAAGCTAATCCAATATGTTGTTCCTGCAACCTCCTCTAAAAATTCTAACGCCTAATTGCGTAAAAAAGAGTTGAAAAATATCTTTCGCAGTGGCAAAAAAAAAAAAAAAAACGGAAAAAAGCAATACGAACGCTAAAAACAGAAAGAAGCAATTCGATCAACTTTCGCGGTAATTGTATCTTATCGGAGTAACTTAACCAAACGCGACCCAACCTAACCTATTCTAAAAGTAGCATACACTTTGAAAATACGGTATACACTTTCTAAGAATGCTTTTAAAACATAGGGAAGAACCCATTATCGACCTAACCTAACCGAACGAAACGGATTGATCAAAGAGAAATTTACAGGAACTATACACCACTGTGTGAACACAGTTGCGTTTACAGTATCTCCCTGGACCAGACCCCCAACTGGAACTGGTTGATTATCATTTGAATGTGTCCACGATGCCTGAACTAGTCCACGAGGGGAGAAAGAGACACCAGGCTTGGGTGACTTTCGACGTGCAGTGTCGAAGAGCGTGCCTGTGCAAAAGGCGATGGAAATAATAAGGGGTTAAAACGACGTGGAAGACAGCGGCGAAGGAGGGGAGGGTGGGGTGGTGAAGGGAGGAACAAGTGCAATGGCCTGGAAACGCGAGACCAACCCCTTCACCTCCTCACCCTCCCGCCAACTGGTCTTCTGAGCACGCCATTGTTATTATTGTCACAGGTATTGTGATTATTGAGCTCATCGTAATACCTGCTCGTTCGCGATTAGTTCCGGCGCAGTCGCGTGCGACCATGATGATGGTCCGCGATAAAATCAACCCCGCTTTTGCCTCTCTTTCTTCCCTGTTGCACGTGAATTTCACTCTGTTATGAATTATTGCGTATGTTATGCGGCTGATACTGCTATAGAGGTTAGGTTCGAAGTGACCAAAACACTTAAAGTGTTCTTGGAAATACACTGAAGTTAGTATAGTGATTTAAATTTCACGCGAAGTATGGCGAGTTTGCAAACAGTGCTGGTACAGTGATTACAATTAATCACAACAAGAGCGAGAGAGAGAGAGAGAGAGAGAGAGAGAGAGAGAGAGAGAGAGAGAGGAATTATTCGCGAAAAGCGGAGGAATTATTTTTTTCAGGAATTAATGTTTAAAAGCAGCCAGCGTTTTCGATAAAATCCCGTCATTCCAGGCATACCGTTACACGTATACGCACACGTATGCAACGCGTTATATAGGGTGTCCCGGGCACACATGGGACATGTGTACAGAGTGACTCACGGGATTAAGTGTAAAACCTCGTCGGTGTGTTCTACGACGAAAAATCGGCAGAAATTGTCATACGAACGCGGGTCTGAAAATGTTTAATTTGAAAGTTAGAACAATTTGAAACGTCGAGCGTACACTGTATAAGTATATTTTTTTAATTTCCTCGAAACCTCGAACAATTTTGACCAATTTAGTTTCAATATTCTTTCAATTGTTGCTCAATATTTCGTTACAACTAGTTCCGTAACTTTTGTTCTATTTTTAGTCACACAGGAGGATAGAAAAACTTCTTGGACACCCGGTATAAAATAACTCATGGAAACCGGCTTAAATAGAATTAGGTATCTTTGGATAAATCTTTTTTCTATGATTTTTCGATAGTGATTTTAGTCCCAGATATTGCGAGGCACTCTGTATGTGTATTAAGAAAGCAGTAAACAACAAATAAATAAATATTCCACATGCAGACAAAAGTTCACGTTCGAAGTACTCACGGCAGTTCTCTTCGTCGGAACCATCCAAACAATCGTTGATGCCATTACACTGTTCGCTGCTGTTGATACACTTATCGTTTCTGCATCTGAATTGTGTGGCTGTGCAGGCTGCAAAAAGAGGGGAAAAACAAAAAAATTCATAAAAAATTTCTGACACAACTAATACGATTTTAAAGGGTCCGAATGTACGATGAGGGCCAATAAAAATTTCAATTTCGCCGGGAATCGATCGTGGCGCCATTGCTAAATCACCTGACAACAGGGCGGACGATTGTTATGACGCCTTTTATTCCAATAATAATCATACCTTCTACTTTTTGCGACCATACAATATTTTGAAACACTTCATTAATTGATGGAAATTAGATTAAAAGCCATGCATTGTTGGCTATTCAAATTTACTTGAGAATACGTTTGGCGTTTAATATTAGTTTAATTTAGTTTAATATAGCGTTTAATTTTATTTCGTATGTTCGACAGGGGTTCCTTCTTGGTCTCTGATTTACAAAGGGAAAGGAATAACACTCGAATTTCTCCCATCTCATGCGAGGAGATCCAATAATATCTCTCGAATGACGTCTAATATAAATTCGAAGAAGGACTGAAGACGATATACAGTTTCAAAAGAGATCATACCTTAATAAAATGTTCAATAAAATTTCCAAGCTCTACGGAACAAACAAAAGAATTACATTTCAGAAGCCTAAGAGTACTTTTCCCCAAGTAACATCACTTTTTTCTCATGTTCACACCATGATCGTCAAACTCGGTACTCTCATGACACCATTGTATGCTTCCATTTAGGTAGCAACAATAACTCCCTCCTTAAATCACGGAATAAATGAGAACCATTTTTGAATCCTCCTTATCGATCGATATCGATCATGCTTCCTGCCTTACCGATCCCAGAAAGATTTAGTTGAAAAAAACAATTTTAAATAACAAAATGATAAATAAAGTGGCTAGAATTATGTCGATTAATTGTTCTCCATCGCTGGATGACCTTTTCAAGGGGTCAGTTAGCTGTTCTACCTGACGATTCGCCACTCATCACCGACCTATCAAAAGCGTTTGTTGCGTTGTGTTTCAGATAAACACAGACCGTGTACCGGTACTCCTGTTTCACCGAATCCGACAGAGGCCGATCTGTTTCCACTTCCATCGGTCTGATACGAGAGTCCATTGACCACGGTGTTGTTTCAGGAATTGGATCGACGTCGACTCATCTCGTTTTCACAATTATGTCACGCTCATTCGATACAATCCGATCGTCCCCGCGTGTGTTGGGTTGCGTTACAGTAACGCGTGTATAGTGATTCAGCTCGCATTTCCGCCGATTTCCTGTGCCTTCCCGCGATACTGTTACCGACCGTAGGTCAATTCCACCGATCAAACGATTCCTGCCATACTTTTAACGAGAACAATTTTGTTTTCCTGGTAATCCTAGGTTATGGTGATTTTTGGAGATCTTCAATGAGTTCTATTTTTAATGTAACTCAAATATGTACAATGGTGTTTTATATTTTTATTAAGTCTTGCTCTCATGAAAAGAGTAACCTAACCTAACTTGGGTGAAAAAAGACTATACGTACATTATTTTTGTAACGTTTGAAAAATTTATACCAGGATATATTTTTATAGGAAGTGTAGCTTTTCTAACCTTCCTAATTCATATTAGGTACAATTTTCATATGTCTAGCAGTAGTTCTGGTTAACCTAACCTAAATTACACAGACCCAGACCCAGACAGTGTCTACACATTCTTATGTTCTGGATGTTATTATAATTTGAAAAAAGTTCACATTAGATCCCATTTTCATGAATAACCGAAGTGTCCACAAGTGGCTCTCGAGACACCAGGGGATTCCTCGCCTTTGTAGAGGCTATAGCTTCGAGAGTACAGTAACCGGAGATTTACTGGCTCATAACATCTCGACGAGGGTTAAAGCGAATTCCTGTTGGTTTTCATGGCAATATACCGGCAAATGGCCAGCCAGTGTCAAGTGGGACGATTGAGTGACGACCTCCTGTTTCAAAGCACACTAGATTCCCTTTGTCAGATATAATCTGATCATGCCTCACACCTTGCCACCAAAAACAATCATGGCGTCATAGAGGTGACGTTGACACTTTGGAATCTAATTTTTCCACCTGTTTCGAGCGTTTCAATTTTTAGGTTAACGCAGGTGAACGATCATCCTAATGGAACACCATTTACGAGCATTTTTCTCCATCATGCAACCATCTTCGAGCGGCATGAATTTTTCAAATAGTCAGGTTAGGTTTACCAAGTCGCTTGTTTCCATTGAAATTCGAAATAAGGAAATTGAGTATTAACATGTTTATTGGAAACAGGGAGACAGTATAGCGAAGCACGGGACGGGGTAAAATATGGGGGGAGCAAGGTGTGGAACTGTGGTGGATGGAAAAGTTTGCAAGATGCCCTTTTTTTACGCTCTAAAGATGCATGAGAGCTTGTCTCGCGCCTCGAGAGCCCACCTTTACGATGCATCCTTTTACAGCCGCGATTCTCTTATCACTCCCTCGCTCCCCCACCCCCCTTCGCCGCGATCATAACTATTTAAAAGCGGTGAAGTTCGGAAAATTGCCGCTCCGTCGCGCTGTAACCACTTTGAGGCGGTGTTTCCCACCTTCCTCCTAAAACCACACAATTTGCCGGTCTCGAAGCGCTACGTTATGGATTTGCCTTTTTTCCGATCATTCAAATTTATTTATACTTTTTATTTTGAATTGTATCGAAATTATTTTTCCAGTGATTTTGGAATTTTCATTTTCGTGCGCACTGTTGTATTCCTGTTGACTGTTGGAATTATTGTTCTTTCTATATTGTTGAACTGCTCGCTCAGCAATGAATTTTGCAGGTTACTTTTCTTGGAATTGTCGGATTTTAGCTCAACTATTCGATTTTTTATTCGAATCACTGAAATTCGTCCAAATTATTGCATCACTCTGACGATTATACTTCCGATTATTTTGCGATTGTTCAGGTCATTTTGCAACAGTGTCAAGGTCGATTTTAAAACGGACACTCGGAAGGTTTCCTTCCCCTCTCCCCCTAGCTCTGCCACTTTTTCGGCAGTCATAACGAGGACATTAGTATCGCGTGCAACGGTCCGTGCAGAGCTGCAGCTTTTTCAGCCGCATCAAGCCCGAGAAAACATCTTCCTCACAGTAGCAACATTCGAGGGCGAATTAATTTGCCATGCAAGCAGGCAAGCTTGCAAAGTTTCCACCCTAGGGCAATTAACAATTAACAAACCTCTGTACCAACGATTTCAAGTTGTACCATATTTTTTCTCACGTTGCCCTTCTTCCTTGTCATTTCCGCTTTTCGAGAAGCTAAGGAGTTGAAAGTATAACATATGCACGCGAAGGAGGGAAGGAGAACACCTTACGGGGGGACTAAACTTCCCCTGCTTGGCAGTCCATTAGAAGAGCACGGACGATTTAGCAGAAGAGGGGCTTTTAGATCCGGCAATTTGATGCTGGCTTGCCTGTCATGCTAATATCCTCAAGCTTTATAGCGAGTCGAGGCTTTTTCCTCCCACTCTGATGTATGTTTTCCACGCGTGAGCCGCCCCTGGACACGCGTCGTTGAGCCGCCGGGATATTTGGTCTTTGATGCTGGTGCTCGCTAAGAGAATTTTCCTTTTTCGGGAATTTTCGCCTTTTCCTTTCCCTGAAAAAACTTTTGCCGCGAATTTTTCAGATTTTCCCCTCTCTGGGAATTTTTTGCGAATTCTCCTCCTCCCCCTCTTCTTTCTCCTGGAAAAGTCTTGTTATGAATTTTCCTAATTTTGCAGGATATTTCCTCTTTGTTTCCAAGGGCTCTTATAAAGGAATGTTTTTGTCCTTCGTTGCGAATTTTTCCCTATTTTCTAAAAATCTCTACATTCCAATGGGGCCGCCACCACACCACACACACACGGGCCATCATTTACAATACATTTCCAGTGACGAATAATATCTCAATGCGGGACAATTTTAGTCAGAACTCTTCAACAAACTCTGGGTATAATTTTATACGAAAATTTTTCTCTCATCGAGCGGCAGAGGTGGCACACACCGACCACCACCTTTTTCTGTGCAGGCGGAGACAGGCGCTTGACTTGATGATCGTACAACTAACAGGTGCTCCAACTCTGCCAATTTGCACCTCAGTACTTTCTAATTATCAAAGGGGTACAGTATCTTCGCCAATTACCATGATCATGAACCTAACCTAACCATAACCACTTTAATCATAACCTAACCTATTAAACACAATTCGACAGTAGTCTGCCCGTTTCAGACATGACTATGTCAAATTTTTTACAATACGTTTAAAACATCGAGGGGTTCTTCAACTCACCAATTTTGTGCCACTGAGAAAATTGATCATCGGACCCAATTTCACCATTAATAACTTTGACACTTATAAATTTATTTTTCCATCGTCTACACAGTTCTCCAGCCTCACGCAGAATATCCTCCAGCAGAAACGACACGTTTTACCATTGAGAAAAAGCGGCAGTTACACCAGCGACCGCCCCATTTCCGTTGCACTCGCGTGATTTAGGAGATAACGAGTTCAGGCCGGTTCTAATGAGACACGGAAACAAAAAGGGCGTGATTTCCCTTCGAGCAGCGGAAGTACCACCCCTCTAACCGACTGACCAACACCTAGAAAAGTTCTTCAACCGGCATTAACCATTTCATCGAACCACGAAAATCGATCGTCTTGATCAAATATCGATTCGCCATCTTGATCCACGGTGGCGCCATCTAGAGGGTCCGTGTCACTTCTGATTATTATCGTAGCGGATGGCCAATGGTAATCGTTTTAGAAGAATTACCATCGATTATATTCCATGCTGTGGCTGGTGAGATTTGCATGAAAAATCGCCTGCTCGATGGGTAACGAGCCGCGTTTCCAACGGGCCACGCCGCGATATATATGAACGCGGCATATAAAGTACACGCGCGTCATACATCGTGAGGGGGTTCCCCCCTCTGTCCACCGGGGATTCGACATATTTTAGTGGCCGATTTGCAATTTAAACGTTATAATTAATGACGTCCTGTCGCGCCCGGCGAACGTGCCCGCA